ATTCCATATTTCTTTAAATGTTAATTTTTTTATATTTCATGCACATTTTAAGTCAGATACAGCTTTTGTTTTTAAACTCTGACCTCGCATGCTACCATGTGTAAATAAACATTATTTTCATTAGGTTTTACTTTCAACTAAAAAGTAAACATTATGTTTACAAAATCTAGTTAATTAATCCTTAAATTTACTTTGAAACATCTCTAGGAAACATTAGATTTTTAAGAGAATGTTAAATTTACTGTTCACAGTTTTTGCCTATACTTGTCAATATATTAAAAAAAGCTAAAAACTTTATTTATATTCAGGAAATTAATTTTTCATTTAATTTAGATTAGCTTTAGGTTAGGTACCTCCAAAGATTCACTAGAAAAGGAACATACACAATGAAAAATGCCACAAACTTAAAAACAAAGTTTTATCATCAAAATCTTTATTATTAAAAGGGGCTTTTTGATTATGAAATTATTCTCTGATCCTTTTCAGAACCATTGAAATTTAGTTAAAAATTTTGTTTTTCTTCCAAACGTGGGTGACTATAAATTACTATTGGATATTTTAGCGTATTTTTGTGGTGTAAAACACACAGATATGAAAACTCTTGCAAAAATCAGATAATAATTCTTTTTTGTAATGATTAATGTTTATATTAGTTATAAGGAAAAGTCTTTGGAGAATTTAAATCATATTTTTTTGGTCCAGTTACAGAAAATCTGCTTTGAATTTCAAATAAAAAAAATGTAATAAAATCATTTAATTAAAAAAGCTTTTAATTGCTTTTATGTATAAAATATATTATAGACACTATTGTCTTCAGAAAAAAATTTGAATAATTAATTTTTACAAGAATTGTTTTTATTTGTTTTAAATTTTAATTAGAATTGTGATGTGTGTTCTTAAAGCATATATCTATTGTACATTTAACGATTCAAGAAAAAACAATGAAGCTCCACTTGTGGATCAACAAATAAATATATATTGCAATATAACATACAAAACAATCATGCAATGAAGTGTAATGATTAAGGGAAAAAAAGTTGTTCCCCTTCAACTGTATTCTGATTTATGATTGAATGTTCGAAAGAGTTTCTCTTGAATAAGAATGTTCAAAATTCTATGTTGAATAGAGTTTGCTGTTAGAATAGAATACAGTTAATTAAGAAATGTGTTGTTTAGAGAAATTAATAAAGTTCTGGTTCATTAACTTCGCTGAGTCACAGAGAAGGATGTGTATAATGTGTTACAAGAATCTGTGTGTGTGTGTGTGCGTTTGAAATATTGTGAGTAAAGTCGTAGATTTGTGTGGACAGGCGAAATAGCTGGATTCTACTGGCGGCTTGTGGCAAAATTGCTTCTTTTAAAGGTACTGGTAGGCTCCGAGCAAAAATGCGGGAAAAACTGATTTAGTATTAAAATGTTTGATTGGTTAAAATTTGACCAATTACTGATTTTGTATCAAATAAAAATGTGAGCAAGTTCATGACCGAAAAATTCAGTGATGGCTGTGATTGCTAAATTGTCTTATAGAAAAGCAGTATCAATTTACTAGCCAATCACAGACAAATAAATTGTGGGCATGGAAAACATAGCAGTCACTACAGAATACTTTATAAAGTTTTAAATCTTTTAAAATTCTGTATTAATTTGTAGTAGTCAAGTGATATTGTTATTAAATTAAGACTGTATTTACTATTTATAAATGAAAAAGCTCACTACAATTCAACAAACCCCTTAGAAAGAATTTTGACTATTTTATGTATGTATAAACATATACATTTTCTTAAGTATAGATGTCTAAACACAATATTATCAGGAAATAAGAGTGATAACTATAGTAAATTTAAAATTTATTGGCAATTTTCTAACATTTACTGAACAAGCATCTTCATACATTAGACTATAAAGCCACAGTATCTAATTCAATAAAATATATTGCACAGAATATTTTTTTAAATTTTGGAGATTACTGGGTAGTTAAAAAAATATATAAAAAGGTGTTCACGTTATCTTCCTCAAGTGATTGTTAGAGTGATATTCTCAGAAAAAAAAATTCCCAAACATAAGTCTATCACGATAGTTGTCAACACCTCATAAAAACATCTACCATGTTAAAAAATGCTTTTCTGTGATATTTTAAAATAAAAGTAAGTAAAAACGCTAAAAAAATCATCCATATTGATAAACACAACATAATTCTCTTTATTAAAAAAGATCTTTCAAAAATAAAATATACATTTCTGAATCTTTATTTCAAGAATTAAAGTTTAATAAATCAGTTGTTTAAAGTCTGATTAATTAAACTTTAATTCTTGAAATAAAGATTCAGAAATGTATATTTTATTTTTGAAAGATCTTTTTTAATAAAGAGAATTGTTGCGTTTATCTATATGGATGATTTTTTTTAGCATTTTTACTGATAATAATTATAATAATGATAATAATTTAAAACTCATTCCAATCAATTCAGTTTGAAATACAGCAAACTATTTTGCTTATTGGAAAAATTTATTAACTTGAAAATCTTGAAATTAAAACTAAAAGCTTTAAGATTTTTCATTTTTAAAAATGCATTTTATTTTTAAATAATGTATAGCAGCTCGGATTGAGGAATCTGAGAGCCTAGTTCGAATTCCAGTCAAATCCATTACATTCACTTACGTACTAATAACCTTGGGAAAGTTAATGAATCCTCTTCTCTTCCCCATCCCAGCTATGGGTAAATAGCAGGACATACCTGGTTTTATAGCCTTGGATGGCAACTGGTCTACTACAGAAAAAAATGGTAACCTAGTGTAGGAAAAAATCTGCCTCATCAGTCATGTATCGAAAGATACATGATCGCCTACGCGTGTATCAGGCATGGCGCATAACTGACTGAAGTAAGAATCGCTTTCCTTTGTTGGAGGTACCAAATTTAGGTTATTTTTTTTTTCATAAAATCGAAATTTAAATTCAAAGAAATTTAATTTAATTTTTTTAAAATGCGTTTTCTGGGGTAGTAGAGATGCCTGAAGAAGGAGGGCACAATGGCTGAAATGCGATAATAAAATAAAAACAAAGATCAGGACATTTCCGAATTAAAAAGTCATAATAAGATTCATTTGAGTGCTAAAAAATAGTAAAAATAAGCGACCAAATGTGGTCTTTGTCAACAAGAACGAAAAAAAAAAAAAAAAAAAATTGATTGTGGTCATCAACAATTACTGTGTTGAATTTGGTTTCTCGGGCAGTAATAACAGAGATATCTTAACACTTTTGAAGCTAAAGCAACACGTACAAAATAAAAAAAAAACCTGTGTATTGCAGATTTTACAAGTAAAAATGAAACCAGTATTGGCTTGGCTTATTAAACGTAGCCTACTTCAAGTGAGCGAATTTTTGCTGGAAATGTGTTGTCAAAAAAAAAAAAAAAAAAAAAAAAAAAAATCCATGATAATGAAAATGAAAAATAATTAATCCACAAACTTGATCTATAAAAGAAAGCCTTCGAAATGAAATTTAAAGTAAAAAATATGATATAGTTACAAAAAAAAAAAAAAAAAAAATAAAATAAAATTCGAATAATAAATCAACGCCATGTACATGGATTTTTAAAACTTGAAATGAATAAAGAAAAAAAGGAAAAAAATCCTTCACGCTTACTACTAATGTTCAAACAAATGAAGGTAAAAACTAGGATATCAAATTGCTCTCTACTGGAAGAGTGACGCAATTTTTTCACCTCCTTGTTTTGACCTTTTGCCAGACTAAGATAATTGCACAGTCGTTCATCTTACTTTCAATAATAAAAAGAAAAAAAGAGCATTGCGTAATCCTAGCAAAAGACCTTGTTGTCACAAACAAAAATAAATGTACTTTAAGTTGCATGTTACAATGGCAAAGTTAAATTAAAACTTTGAATCTGTGAATAAGTTTTTTTTTTTTTACGTACTACACATAAAAAACTGGTCACAAAACCCTAAGACTTACACACTCAAGTAGAGTAGAGAGACTAAAAAAAAAGATAAAATCGATGTTTTCATTATATTCATTTTTTAAAAATTCAATATTTCACTTTGTTTAAAAATAAATTTAGAGAGTTGTAAAATGAAACAATTTCTAATATTAAAAAAAATTACTATTTTAAGTAAAATGGAATAAAAAAAGTAAAACTCAAAACAGGAATTATATACGTTTCAAATTGTAGTCTTTTTTTTTTTTGCCAAATGAAAAAAAAAATGAGTAAGAAGAAGACTTTCTTTGTGCTTCCCTTCGATTATTTGTTAATTTTCTTTATTTTGCTTTGGCTATTTCTTTTTTTTTTCTTCTTTTTCTTACTTTAAAAAACATTTTATTTGCTTGAAGCCAAAAAAACAACAAAGCTTATTATTCGCTAATCTTGAAATAAACGAAGAAGATAGAAGTTTCGGGACTGACATACGTTTTCTTTTTTAAGTTGCTTGTCAATAAAATGTGTAAATGGATTTTTTAGAACATTTAGAAGGGAAAAGCTCCCGGAGTGTTAAATTATTTAACACTCCGGGAGCTTTTCTCTTATTTAACTTAAATAATAATAATTATTTAGTTAAATTTAATCAGTTTTTACTTTTTATTTCTCAGAAATAATCGATTTTAGCAATTATTACAAAACACATACACGCATTAGCGGTTTTATTTAATTACAAAGGTGACATTAATAAAAAAAAACAAAAACGTTAAGGTTTTCACAGAGAAAAGAATAAAAAAAGCATTATCAAATCAAACAGAAAAATTCGTCTGCATAGAGATAGGAAAAGTCACACTAACTTTTTTTTTCTAATAAATTATATTCATAAATATGAAAGCGAGAAAATATTAGTCTAACCATAAAATTCATTACTTATTAAACTGATTGTTTAACTGAATGATGAAAAAAGTTAATCGAGACGCCACAACAAATTGTTAAGTTTAATGTTTGTCAAACTGAAACTAGTTTTCAATGGAAAATTAAATGAATCGCTATCACGTATCACACTTCTTACCTTTCATTGGTCCTCCTATTAAAATGACTGCTTTAAACATGACTGTTTTCTGATCAGAATGACAGAAGTGAGATTTAAGCCGGACACAAGGTGGTCAGATAAAAATGGAATCGGTAATGACGTGAAAAAAAAGTTAAGGTTTTTAGCCGGTCAAATATCTTCCGTAATCCACGTTGTCAATCAATACTGTACATCATCAACCGATTTTTAAGAAGAACGAGTTATTTCCCTTTTTAGTTTTTCAGACAACCACCAGGGAGAGGCTTTGACTTACACGTTGACAGCTCATAAAAATTTTACAAAAAGAAAGAAAGAAAGAAAGAAAGAAAGAAAGAAAGAAATCCTTCAAGGACTTCTTTTGTTTGTTTGACTGCATCCTATATTTTAAAAAATGCTATATATATATATAAAATTTAGCTGAAAAAATTGCAATTTAAGCAAACCTAACTAGAGAAAAATTTTCAGAAATTCTCGTACATGTTTTTTGTTCGTTTTGTCACTACATCATTTCACCCGAGTGATTTTTAGGAATCTGAAATTTTCGTATTCTAAAAAAAGCAAGTCTGAACTTACTGATCAAGTTACTCACTTTAAAATTTTTGTGTTATTCAAAATTTAATTAAGTTTCATTGTTTCAGATTTATATCTATTTTTTTTTTATCTTTTTTTTTCACCAACTTCATTATTGAACCTTAGTTACTAAATTGTTTATGTTGACTTGAGTTACAAGCGAATTCTCATTAACACTCTGATCCCATCATGACATCTTATCAATAAAACTAATACTTTAAAAGAGCAATAAACTTACTCATTTGTTATTATTCTAACTCAGTCTTCTAATTACTCTTTACTACTCTTTTTAACTTTGTCAGTGATGAGCAAATGACTTCATAGTGGCGACAACTTTTTACTCAAGTACCATAGCAACCATGCTTCCATATAAATTATGTAGAATAAGAATAATTTAAACTTTGATTTAGTCATCTACTGTATAAACATGTACATACAATGATAAGGATATGGAGTTTGAAAGTAATTTTAAGCCTGTTGATTAATTGCTTAAAATTCTGAGACGATACTGTTATAGACAAGTGTATGGTTGCAAGAAAGAAATACGACAACAGTAGAAATAGATTTACGTGGTTTATTTCAACAGGAACGTAAGGGTTTAGGACAGCTACCTTGTGGTAAAGTTCATAAGCCGATTTTCGGATCTGGTCGATCTCTCATAGTAGTCCACACATGTTGACGGTGGTTGGCTGACAGCTGAACGTGACCGGTCTCCTTTGCCACCTGTTGACGATATTCAGTCACCCCCCCCAAAGGGTGTCATGTGGCACAAGGCCTTTTTAACGTGGGCATTCCCGAGCCATTAGGCTGTTGCCCATTTGAACCCGTATAAACGGGTTCTGGGCCGCCTCCCTGAAGGAGACTCCGAACCTCCTTCGGGTTCCTCCCAACCGTAGGAAGAGAGTTTAACCCAGTCGGTTTATACCTGTTTTTTTCCCTGTGACCCCTTTTATAGCGTTTTTTTATGGCTTAACAGGCTCGAGAAACGAAGCGAGTATAATTAGGAGGGAAGCATTTTTATTGGACGAAAAATAGAGCACTTTAATTATTATTTTATTTTTCGACCGGAACACGTGTCGGAAACATTTGTAAAGAAAGTTAATGGTCATTTTGTGACGGGGCTTTGTCCCGTTCACATCCGGTTCTCGCTCTTGAGTATTTGCCTGTAAATCAGCCGAGATATGTCATTTTTATTTTATAACAAGGCTCCCCAGATCTCGGTCTGATTTACAGTGAGCGTTATTCGTGTATATTTGGGTGATTAAGTCATGATAAAGTCTCTGAAGCGTGTGGGAAGTTGTCCTCGTGTTCTTCTTGTTGGCATTTGTTTTGGTATTGGGTTATTTGCTGAATTATGTGTCCCCGAGGGATGTGGAGGAGAATGATCCTGGTGACTGTTACATGGTGGAGGCAGAGGGATTGTATTAGAAAGATGTGTTGGGCGTGGAGCCAGTCGTCGGATATGTGCACGGTGAATCCAGATTGTATCACCATCATCGTTTTGCACCTGACACACATCATATTGTTCGTTTGTATAATGGTGTAATTTCCTATCCAGGGCAGATGAGAGGATTGGGCAACAGTTGAGTGTGGCCGATGAAGTAAAACCTTGTCGCCTACTTGTATTGGGTCCTTGTATGTGAGACGATTTAAGTTAGTCTCAAGTTTGTGGTCAGCTTCATCGTTGGCCAGGGTGACGTGGTGGTGAACCTGCTTTAGCAGGGCATTAATTTGCATTCCATATGCTCCAGGATCGTCGCTTGTGATTTCTTTTCTGTGTAGTGTAGGTAGGCCGATGTTGGGGTGACGGCCGGTAATGGCATAGTGCGGGGAGACACCGGTGACGCTGTTGGTTGTGGCATTCATGGACGAAACGACAGATTCTAGAACGTCTGTCCATTCACAGTTTCTGTCTTCGCATAACATATAAAGTGCGTTCTTCATCGTGCGATGTTGTCTCTCGATATTTCCTGAAGTGAAGTTCTTGCGTGATTGACATCTAGTTACAGAATTGTCGATAGACTTCTCCAGTGAAGTGTGTGCCTCGATCAGAGGATACTATGCGTGGAATCTCTCTGTGAATGGTACAATCCGCGGGCGGCGTCGATAGCACGGTCTCTCGCGCATGGTATGGCTGTAAAATGTCGGCTGAAGCTATCCAAGATGGTTAGGATGTAGCGTTTTCCCTTTGAGTTGGGCATTGTGCCAAAGTCTATAAAGACGAGATCGAATGGTCTCTTTCCTCGTCTGCAGTGGCCAATGGTCCGGTGGGTACGTCTACCGTAGTTTCCCTTGCACTGTGCTAAGTGTCGCAAGAATCGACATAGGCCTTGATGTCGCGGTTTTTGAATTCCCACCAGTAGCTGGAAAGGAGTTCTCGCATACGGGTAACACCTGAGTGGTTGTTGCCCTCGTGTGCCTGGTAGAGGTATCTGGGTCGTAGTTTGTATGGTACAACCAATCTTGGAGAGTGTTTACTGTCTCTTATCATCAAAACGGAGGTGCATGGTTCTAGAAAAAATTGGTGGAAATGTTTTTGAAAAAGTGTAGCTCGGTGGTCGTCAGGATCGATATGAGGTTCGCTTGGAGTGGGTGACTGGAGGGCGCTGATGATCTTTGCCAGGGCGTCGTCCTTCTGTTGTTCATCTGCGATGCCGAGGTGGTTGCAGATTCTCTCAGGGGGATGGTGGTGGTGGAGTGGTAGGCGAAGAATGCGTTGGTGACGCGCTTGTGGGTGCGGGCGTTTTGTGGTGTGTGAGTTTTGGGAATGAGCTGTAAACCGTTAAACTCGCCAAGACACCAAGATGGGATGTATACGTGGAGGTCTGAACTGCTTACCTCGAATGTCTTGCCTGCCGGTGTAGGGTCGTTCAGGGCTTTCGTTTTCTTATGTCCGCAGCTTCTGCTGAGCATGTCAGCCCATACATTTGATTCGCCTTCAACATATTCCAAGACGAATTTATAACATGAAATTTCTTCTTGCCATCGTTGTATTTTGGCATTATTGAACTCTCGTTGGTCCAGATATGTCAGCGATCTGTGGTCGGTGAAGATGACGAAGGGGCGGTTGCGGAGGAAATAATCAAATTTCAATATTGCCCACTTTATTGCATATGCCTCTCTTTCCGTCGTGGACCAGTTCTGTTCCGTGGAGTTGAATGTATGGGAAGCGACCGCTATGATATCTTTCTTCCCGTTGTCGGCTTCTTGCATTAAGATTGCTCAACATGTGACGTCACTGGCGTCGGTGGTGAGTGTGAAAAGTTTGGAGAAATCTGGAAACAAGATGACGGGTGGCGAAGAGAGACGGTCCTTGATTTTTTTGAAGGCTCTGTCGGCATTTTGCGTCCAGACAAACGGTTTATTAACCTTGTTGAGTTCGTGTATGGGACCCATAAGTTTTGAAAACATATCTGACCTGATTTGTTCGTGAAGACGTGTCTCTAGGAATTGTCTGATCCACACTAAACGGCCGATAAGGCTTTGTAATTCCTTTTTTGATGTTGGAGGTTTCATTTCCTGGATGGCACGAACGTATTCTGGATCAGCCTTGAATCCTTCGCTGTTTACTATGCGTCCGAGGAATTTTGCCTCTGATGCGAGGGAAGGAACATTTATCGATTTCAGCTTGAGTCCGAATTTTCGGAGGGCAGTAAAAAATTGTTCGAGGGAGAGTATGTACTCCCTAAATGTCCTAGCGTGGACCAGGTTGTCGTCGATATAGGAGGAAATGTTGTTACGGGATGTGACCGTGGCTAGTGCTTCTGCTATGCAACGGGAGAAGATTTGTCCGGCAGATGTAAGGCCGAAGGCCAGGCGCGTATTGATAGCATTGGTCCTTCCATGTAAATGCTGTTTTGTATCGGTCTCGCTTGTCGATCTCAATTTGCCAGTAGCCGCTGCGTAGATCAAGGGTAGTAAAATATCTATTGCCTTTGCCGATTTTGTTGAACAAGTGGTCGATCCTTGGCATTGGGTAAGGGTCAATATCGACTAAGACCTTGTTGAGAGTTCTTTAAAGTTAGCAACGACACGAATCGATCCGTTTTTCTTGCGTACGGCAAATACAGGGCTATTGAAGCCTTTGGGGTCGCTGCAGTTTTCAATGATACCTTCATCAGCCATACGCTTAATTTCAGTATCTACGTCTGCTTCCAAAGCCTGGGCGATCGGGTGTTGTTTCTGGCTGCGAGACTGGCCGTTGGTTGGTATGCGGATGGGTCGGATGAATTTGCCTTTGCGGCTGCTTTCTGTGCCGATAATGTCAGCGTAGCGAATGAGTAAGTTTGCAGTGGCCTCTAGTTCGTCTCGGTTCGGGTGGTTTGGTAGCGATAGTCCCGTGTTATGTTTTTAGCCAGGTTAGCTTTTTGATCCAGTGTCTGGATGTTGGGCTGTAGTTCCATAGTAGGCTGGTTTTGGATGATGTCAGCTTGGGCGCCATATGCTGGATCGTTGGTTGACGATGACGGTGATATGATT